TTTTTTTTTTTTTTTTTTTCGAATCCACGAAAATGGAAAACCGGTCGAGGATCGAACGGCGCGGATTCGCCAATTAGCGAAAGATTGAACACGTAATGACCGACGGAACGTAAACGTACCAGCGTGAACAATCGTTTAATAATACCCGCGGCCTCTATTCAATTTTCCCGTGAATCGAAACAATTATTATTGTCAGTGGCGCGATATCGTGGAAACGGGGCCGCCCCGCCGTCGTTGCAACGCGTTGTATTTCCATATAACGATTAATAACCAACTACCACCACTACCACCAGTACTACGTTACGCGTTGTTCCGTGTTGAAACCGATTTTAGAGAACGCCTATGTTTTCTCTGTTTCTTTTTTTTTTTTTTTTTTTTTTTTGTCCCGATTCCTTCCTCGTCTCGATCCCTCTATTTATTCCGTTATTCCGACGACTCGATCGAGGTAACAATTAATATAGATCGCGGGAGATAATTTTGAATTGAAGGGAAGTCGAACGATCGAAGTTCAAAAGGGAAGAAAGGGGGAGGAAAGGAGAGAAAAGAAAAAAGGAAAGAAGAGAGGGGTCGTTCTCCGACGGTTTGTGAAATTGACGGCCATTTCCACGGCCGCGACATAAATTCGATCGGATAAAGAGAGAGAGAGAGAGAGAGAGAGAGAGAAGGAAAGCGTTTCTCGTGTCGCGAGTCGACTAATCGCTTCCGAGATAATTGTATCATTCCGCTAATAACTGGTGTGGAAGCCCACGTCGATCGACGATATAATTGCATCGTCGATAACGCGCGCGCCTTGCTGTTTGCTCTCCGTGCAAACGTCGAATCGTGGCGAGCTCTAACGAAGAAATTTACGGAAGGGAGGGAATCGATGGAAACCTGTTAGCCCATCCCACCAGTCACCTCCCTCCCTATTTCGTATTCCTTTCTCTCCCTCCTTCCTTTTCTTTCTCCCTCCCTCTCTTTTCTTCCTTTAATCGACATAAATCCTCGTTACCCAATCGTATATCACAACCGTTCTCCTGGATTTCGAACCGCCTTTTGGACCGCGAGAAAAATCCACGATTTCGTTGCTGGGTCAACTATGAATCCGGGAATATTCGCGGGAATATCGGTATGGAAATATCGAGGGAGAAAGTCGAAAATTTATATCGATGGTCCTTCTTTGCGGCTGGCTTTATTGCCGGTCGATGGCGACCGCGGAGAACGAATTTATCGCCGCGATTTCGAGGCGACCTCAAGGTACGGTGGAGGTACGCTCGGCTGGCTAGGCGAATGTTATTTCGCGTGCCACGAAACAGGAATCCGCGCCAAATCGTGGACGGAATCGTTTCGACGAAATTAAACCGGCTGGCTGGTTGTTGTGTGCCGTCGCATGTGCGATGACTGATTCTATTGCGGGAAATAACCGTCGGGAGTGAGAATCGTTGAATATTGAAAAACTTTATGAATTCGGTAATTTTTAACTGCGAGAACAGAGTTTCGACGGATGGAATTATCGTTCAAGGGTTTTTCCAGAGATTCGCGAGGTTTCTTGATCGATCGAGAAGAATTATACATAGATCGGTTAATTATTGTGGCCAGATTTTGTTAAGTTATATTTCGCGCGAGAAAAACGCGAGTTTGTTTCAATTAATTATCGTCGAGATTATTATTGCAAAAAGGTAAAGATATATTTTAAGAAAAGAATAATATTCCATTCGAAAGAGATGGTATTGATAAGCCATCGGAAAATCTCAGTTGCCCAAGTAATAGTATACAGGGAGCGGAAAGTTCCAATTCAACAAGTAGAATACGATGATTGTGGCGAGAAGGAGAGGATTTACCTACCATAGCTTTAAACTTCTCCGTTTCTAAATTAGAATTATTATTTTTCTCCATATTTAACTAATCTGATTTATTATACATGCGCAGTTTTCTCGAAGGGAAAAGAGGATAGATTGTTATCTATCCAATTAATTTTAAATTTTTCTACAATCAAAGAGGTTCTTTCTCCTTTTCCTCTGTATCGCTATTCCAACTTTCAATTAATGTCAACTCGATATTTTTCTATTCAAAACCAAAAGGAAGCAGATTATTGTCTCCAATTATTTTTCAATTTTTCCACAATCGAAACTTTTTCTAACAAGACTCTTTCTTCTTTTCTTCTAACTCGATACTCTTCTATTCTCAAAATCAAAGAAGAAGGAATTATTCCTAATTCCTAATAAGATTTCTTCTTTCTCCTCTTCCTTTCATTTCAATCTCCAACAATCTCTAATTCAATATTTTCCTCGAAATTAAACAAGGGTAAATAATTATCTTCTAATTAATTTTCAATTTTTCCATAATCGAAAACTGTTCCTAACAAAGTCCTTAATCGATATTCTTCTATTCTCAAAAATCAAAAAAGAAAGGATTATTATCTCCTAATTTTCAATTTTTCCATTGATCGAAGAGGTTGTTCCTAACAAGATCCTTTCTCCTTTTCCTCCATATCACTATTCCTCCAATTATTCCAGATTTTTTTTCTATTCTCAAACCAAAGAAAAAAAAGACAGATTATTGTTAATAATTAATTTTCCTTTCAATCGAAGCCTGTTATTAACAAGGCTTTTTCTTCTTCTCTTCTATCTTTTATAGTTTTCTATTCTAAAAATCAAAGAGGGAAGCATTATCTCCTAATTAATTTTCAATTTTTCCACAATTGAAAAAATTGTTCCAAATAAAGCCCTTTCTCCTTATTCCTTTCCAATTATTCCAATTTTTTTTTCCATTTTCAAATAAAAAAAAAAAAAAAAAAGATAGATTATTGTTAACAATTAATTTTCAATTTTTCCTTTCAATCGAAGCCCTGTTCCTAAGACCCTTTCTTCTTCTTTTTTATCTTCGATAGTTTTCTGTTCTAAAAATCAAAGAGGGAAGCATTACCTCCTAATTAATTTTCAATTATTCCACAATTGAAAAAATTGTTCCTAACAAAGCCCTTTTTCCTTATTCCTCCAATTTTTTTTCCATTTTCAAACCAAAAAAAAAAAAAGATAGATTATTGTTAACAATTAATTTTCAATTTTTCCTTTCAATCGAAGCCTGTTCCTAACAAGGCCCTTTCTTCTTCTCTTCTATCTTTTATAGTTTTCTGTTCTAAAAATCAAAGAGGGAAGCATTACCTCCTAATTAATTTTCAATTTTTCCACGATCGAAGAGATTGTTCCTAACAAGGCCCTTTCTCCTTTTCAGACCGGTAACAGTTACAAATCGCCCGAGGAGTCGCCGCATTCGGAGCACAGCAGATTGAGGTGAGTGCCACTGCCTTTTACGCCATGCTCGCGGCAGTTTAATTACGTTTCACGACACGTCGCCTCAAAGAGAGGGAGACACGGGCCCCCGTGTAAACCGAAACGCGTTGAAATTCCACGCCGCCAGTATTAGCGGTCTTCCTAATCCGCGTATTACTCCATCCGCGATAAAGTCAACTTCGTATCCCTCGTTAATGTCAATTGCGCCCACCGCAACAATATGCTCCGTGTTTTAATCCACGCGACCCACCCTCCTCTCCAAGAATCCCCAATCCATCTTCTCGTCCAAGATCACGTTGATTCCATTTCCTCTCGACGATGGTGCGAATCAATTTTTTGTTGGCAAGTTGGGGATTGGCGCGTATTATAGTTATTCACTAGGAAAGGAGAGCAATTTTTAAAGAATTTTTCGTTTCTCGTATGTATATCGATGAATTAGGGAATTAGGAAGAGGGAACTTAGTAAGTTTTTGGATTCTATGCTTTGCGCCATGATTCTATTTTTTTTTGATTTCATTTTTTGGAGTTGCTTTCCAATTTAAATTTTGAAATGATTCACGTATTCTCGGGAAATTGGTGGGTATTAAAGGCCCTTTTGAATTCTATACTCTGCACCACGTTGATATCCTAGAATCAATTGTTATATTATATTATTGATAGAACGTATCTTCTATAATTTTCACATGGTGAATAATCGTTTTAATGTCAAATAATGTTAAGTTAAATAAGACTGGATAGGTTAATTTATCTTTATGTCGTCACTATTGATTCGAGTTTGAACCTTTGATACTTCCATTAATAATGATTAGGAAGGGATTCAAAGAGTGTACAAGTACGAATTCTAAAAAAAAAATTAAAAATACTCACAATTTTTCTATCTAAAAAAAGAAAATATCAAATTTCGACTAGCAAAAGTATTGGACGTAAGAAAATCTCGCAACGATTGCCGAATATATCTTCCTCCCGCGTAACCGCGCTCCTCATTTCCAAGCCCATCATTTCAAAATACCATAACTGCTCGACCATTTTCCACTGTATCACCTATGACGCGAGCGCTTTAAATCAACCATTAAAACGAAATTACTTAAATCGCCCGCGACCCGTCCATAATGAAATTTTAAATTTTAAAATGTTGTAACCTCACCGAATTAAAACCTCTATTTTCTTTATGAATTTTAACAGCGATACTTTTCCCCTCGCTTTTTTTTTTTTTTTACAATTCTAGCACGAGAGAACAATGCGCTAAACTAAACACGTAGCATAAAAATATAATCTATCTGACGATCACGTCATTTATGTATAATAATCATTCTAAAAGAATGAGAAACACAGACAGATCTTCCTTTTAAGATCAATTTTTTTTTTTCCCAAATATTCAATAAACGTTTCCACTATTCTATTACACAATTCTATTATATTACAATTACCTTTCGAATCCTTCTCTCTCTCCCTCTCTCTCTCTCTCTCTCTCTGGTTATATTTTACTTCTCTTTCGAAACCTTATTAATCAGGGTTTCAAGGGAATCGCCCGGTTTCCCAATCAAAGTTTAAACGTTAATATCGGAAACGTAATATCAGAAAACTATCACAATCTCGTGATCTCCATCCGTGGCGGCCAAGTCTCGTCGCGTCGCTATTATTTCCACGGTGATTGCAATACTTTTAATAAAGGGGGGGATCGCGCGGAGGTTTCGTGTCGACGGCGATGTAACTGCGGCGAAAGGGCGAGCGGACGGGAACGATTATCTTTCATTACACCTGCGATTCCCAGGTGCAATGTGTTCCAATTAATCACAACGAGCGCCGTTCAAGTCGGCGCCGGGGACGAGAAGGGGAAAAATGGAGAGTGGGGAGGGGGAAGGTGGTCGAAAATTCGACCAAGATAAGATATATTACGTTACATTTTTCTTTTTTCCGAATTATTCAAAGTAATTTGATTACTATTTTTCAACGTATCCGTGCCAATTCCTTTCTTTCGCGAAAATTTAAAAACGAGGAAGCATCTCGAGATGAGGTATTCTTAAAGACGATGAACGATTGTGCATCTATATTTTAAGTCCCGCTCGAATAATTTTCTCCTAAAAGGGATTAGAATTGGTCAAAAAATTGTGAAAAGTGATGTTGATAGAGCGAATAAAATGTGATTGAATGAACGGAGAAAGAAAGAAGGATTTTTCAAGTTGAGAAGAAAACAGTTGTTCGGTGGTATAAAATTCGTGCATCGAGATATCGCGAGAAGCAGGAGATGTTCGAGATGGAATAGATAGATGACATATTCCGTGCGTCAGAAATGGCTGACGCGAGCCCAGAGTGATGAGATCGGGTAAATAACTGAGTGAACCTGTACGTTCCCTCGGGCTGTCTAATAGGAGAAATGATTTCCAGTTTCTTTTTTGATTCCACGGAGACGGGGATCCTTTATCAAACATCAAATTTTTCGCTCACGAGAAAAATTTGATTCAATTTTTGTGTACTTGAATCGGTATATATTTCCTGTCACTGATGTATTAAGAATTAATACGCGAACGGAATGTATCCTGAAATTATCAGTTCAATTTGGTGGAAACTTTGGAACTTGTTCAAGTGGCGTGATATCGATATTAAAATTTATACAAATCAATCGCAGACACGTTCTGCATGAAATGTTTACTTTGTTAATGCCGCTTATCTATGTTAAATTAAATTCTAATTTATCTTTTAGAAAGTATCGATCACTCGGAGAGTTCGTTGTTCTTTCACATTTAAGAAAGTCTCGTGAATTATTTTATCTACAATTCTTACCCCTATCTATCTATCTATTTATTATCTCCAATATTCTCTACCCTATATTTTTCTTTAAAATTCCCAGTCGCAATTAAAAATCCTCAAACAATTTCAAAGATCATCTTACACTTACAAAAATTATTTATCTATATCAAATTCTAATTTAAAAAGTATCGATCACTTAGAATTTTTATCCCTATTTATTTATTTATTCCAATGTTCTCTATTTATTTTTCACCTTTAAAAAAAGTTACAATTCTAATAAAAATCCTCGCAAACAATTTCAAAGATCATCTTACACTTACAAAAATTATTTATCTATATCAAATTCTAATTTAAAAAGTATCGATCACTTAGAATTTTTATCCCTATTTATTTATTTATTCCAATGTTCTCTATTTATTTTTCACCTCTAAAAAAAGTTACAATTCTAATAAAAATCCTCGCAAACAATTTCAAAGCCGAACGAAGATTCGATCATATTTCTCTTTTCATTTCCACAAAAAAAATCACTCCCCAGTTTCTTCTTGACACGAATTTTCGAAAAAAGGAAAAACCGAAAGAAAATGATAAAGATAACGGATCGCGAGGATACAACATCGAAATGGAGAAGGATCAAGGGTCGAAGGGACAACGGGGAAGAGGAGGGGGGTAAAACATCGCGGTCGAGGATTCTCTCACCCCCCCCC